TTCATATAGAATGAATGACAAGTATTTAGCAATTGTAATGCCATTCAAGCTTAATATCTGAAGAGTGGGAGTTTTATCTTGATATGATCATGTCATCAATCTTGTTATATCTTTGACATGTATTGTATATCATATTTATACATGTATTTAACTACATAATCATCTTACCGTCTAATATTTGGCCGTATTTACTACATTAATTTAATATTTTATTTAAAGTTGCAAAATATATCATGCGAAATTTTATTTGTAAAGTTGTGTTGTACTGTACATAGATTAAATTTTTTTTTGTTGTTGTTATTTAGTTCTATTATCAAATAATATATTTTTATTATAAATATTTATTACTAAATAACAGAATTACTTTTAATTCGGTGATAATTCTTAAGTACCAATAATGAAAGTTCTAAAAATTTTCACTTCTATATAGCCTAAGACAAAAAGTTTGAAGTGAATATGTAATGATTCAGAAATAAAAATGAATCATTCTGTTAACCAAGGGTTTGAGACCCAAGCATTACTCAGTGATTTTGTAAACATCTCACGCCTTTGTAACACATCATACCGATTACCTGCATACCCACCCACTTGTATCTGCAGTATGTAATTAATGGTCCTAAACTAAACACGTTATTTAGTATTATTTCAAAAATCTGTAAGTTGATGAACGTGTGACAGGACGACTTCCAAAAGCCAATTCTTGTTCAGACGATTTCTTAGCCAAATTTTCAAGCATGGGACCTAGAAAATTCGGTTTTTCAGAAACGATATTTAATTAATAGTGTATAGTACACAGTGTTTCAATAACAGTTATAGAACTTTGAATTAAAATAAAATAAAAACTATACAAGTTAATATGATGCTAATTGTTTTATTTTATAGTGTATTTAGTGGCATTACACTTGAAAAACAATATAATTTAAATTGTCCCCACGTTTGCGCTTGATAAAGTGAATACGATTAATCCAATTTTCGATGACTTTGGCACCTAAATCAGGCTGTATTTTGTTTATAACACGAGTGATATTAGCTTTCAGGTCATCAACAGCTTGTGGCTTGCTGGAATAAATAAGGGATTTAATTTGATCCCATAAAAAGTAATCCAACGGAGTTAAGTCGCAAGATAGTGGTGGCTAAGTGATGGTCAGTAGGATTTAATTCTTGCATTAGTTGAATTTTGTACTGATGTAGAGATAAATGTATGTAGTCTTTACGTGAAATTAACCAAACAGATGTTTGAGAAACGTTTAATTCTTGAGAACGTCGCGGAATAGATAAATTCGGATTTTCGTTAACACTTTCTCTAACAGCGGCAACATTTACTTCACTTCATATTCCAATTTCAACACGAGGAACCGCAATATTTCCACAATGATTTGTCAAACACTACAGAACAGATATATAAATTACCCTGACAATCGAATAAAAACTAAGCCATCTGTGTCAATTTAAAGTTCTATCTCTCTTAATGTTAACCCTTCAGTTGTAAGATAGAATTTGAAGTTTGAGTAAACTTTATTATAAAATTTCTATTATAATTGACAAAATATTTAAATGGCTTTAAAAATGTTTTTTTTTTTTTTTTTTCAGAATTTTAAACGTTAATTTAGATTTGCATTCAGCAAGTAGGCTATTTATAACTAAATAGAATAACAGTGTTTTAGTTAATGAAAACAATCTACATTTTGTTAAGTTTAAATGAATTGCAAAATGTAGATAGAAAGTTGTAGAGAAGAAATAAAATAAATGATTCAATACAAAAACTTGAAAACTTTAACAATTAAGCCTACTCTTTGATCATAATTTTCATCCATGTTTAAGGGATTCAGTGGAATAACCACGGATTATCCAATATCCTAGTCTATCCAAAACAAAATTACTTTGTAGAATCCTATAAAAAGTTTTAGCTTGATGACTTTTATCCACAACAAGAATTTTTCGATAAAACTGATTCCAAAAGATGTTAAAATTAATCCTACAGGCTTATACTGTAATTCGGGAATAAATTTATATATATATGTAAACTGCTAAAGTTTTTTTCTGACTTAATTAGTTACTAAATTTTTGCTTTACATATTAAATTCAACCATTGAAGAACTTTTATGTCCGGTAACAAAAAACGTTTAATAAATCGTCTAACAAACGATTTCGACCTTACTCAAGGTCTGCATCAGGTTAGAATATAATCGAATTCCAAAATCGGAATGCTTGGAATAGAACGATCTTAAAATGTTAAATTTAGAAACCTTTGGAACATAAAAAACCAACCGAAACTTAATGGTTGCAAATGCGTGAAACCTAAAAATATACACATAAGGCAACCCGTGTGCCTACTCTAACCTGACGCAGACCTTGAATAAGATCGAAAGCGTTTGTTGGACGATTTATTAAACGTTTTTTGTTACCAAACATAAAGGTTCTTCAATGTTTGTCATTAGCACCGGTAATAAAGTTGGAAAGCATCTTTATATTAAATTCATATTTTACAGTACAATTAAACAGACAGTCGGATAGCCATGTGTCCAAGGTCCGGATATGTCGGCCCTGTCCCTCAACATTCGGCCACCGCATTGTGGGCCTGGCCGAACCCATAATGGGCTTGCTAAAAGAGGCCCTCTTAGTTCCCACTGGGCGAAAAATTAAAAAAAAAAAAAAACAGTGCAAATGACTTACACAGCGAATATTTATTGAATTAAAGTTTAGTGTTCCTAAACACTTTTTCCCTTACTTTTTCGTGCTGAATAAGTCTTTCAATCAAGATCATTGTGGATTCTATAGGGACCACATTGGAGATGAATGGATGGGAAGGGAAGGGACCCAACATATTCGGGACGAACTTCCCACGAAATGTTTTTGGGGTTTTCGACCTGTCCAGATTAGTTTCTGGATTCCCAAAGCGGTAGACAGACATCTTAACACCTGTGGTTTTCAGCTAGATCGTAGCGGCACTAGAGTGCCTAACGACACTTCAGGTGCTACCACAGAATAGTGCTGAGCAGTGCCATAACATTTTTTACGTATATTACTAAAAGTGCGAAAAGCACAATAGCTTTAAATTGAAAAAGAAGTAACAGTGCTGCAAGTAAAAAAATTATCAAGTTGATGGTGCTACTAGAAAATTTTGAAAAGTACTGCCTTAACCACTCAGTCATCAAACCAACAATTTTGTGGAGCATTTATAAAATATATAAAAGGTTGTAATTAATCTCTTAAAGCTCATATTTAAAACATTATTTTTAATGTCTTAATATTCAAAGATCAACTAAATCGAAAATTTCAATTAAATGTTTTTAATAGGATTTCTTATAAAATTAAAATTCACGTAATAGTAAAAACTTATAAAACAATATTTTAGTTTGAATTAATAAATTTAATTTAAAATTAATTCGTGTCATTTTTTGATGTAGTTTCTGTATTTAAATATTCACATGAATGAAACTTTTAAAGAAAGAAAAAAAAAAACAATTTTCACGTACAAATTTGTCTTTATTTAAAAAATTGTTCCATCTAATTTCTCAGACAGACAGATAAAAATATATCTCTTTTATTATTAGTCGTCAACGGTCGTAGAAAATGGCATCGGTAAGCGACGAATGGATGCATGGAACCGTTTTAGTGATGCTTTCTCTAAGTCCGTTAGGGACTACGGTAACTGTTGAGGCACGTTTAGATTTCCAGTTCTTTGAAGAGGTAAATTGGTGCTCGGTGTTATATACCCGATGACAATGAAAAGAGATGAAGTTCGAGTAACAAAGTTTTCTTTACTATACACATATGTACCGAAGTTTTCCCCTTTTCCTCATATATAAGTTTGTACGTGAAAGTTCAAGGCACGAAGTAATAAAAAACATCTTATTGCTCGGGACGAAGTCCTTTGCCTTTGGATCCTGTGGGAATGATTGGCCAAAATGATAGTTATATTCAGATTATCGGATGGCATATTTCCATCTTGCATTAATGCATTCTTTACGTACAGTACTTCCCTGAATCATCGGAGCGAAAAATTGTGTCGCCATCTGTTGGACAATAAAATCACTATATAAGTTTAATAGAAAAGACTCTAACTTACGTTCACTATCTATATATAGAACTACATACGAACACATTAAAACGAAAATAATATGAATAATATATTTACAAAATATCGATCTTAATAATTCGCTAAAATGCCATTAATTTATTTTAATTAGTTAAGCAAATTCTTTATCGAAATTCGATTGTCATGGCAATACTTACTACCTATCGATTCCATTTACTAAATGCAGTCAATCAGTTTCTTTTGACAAACTTTGATTTCCTTTAATTATCCGAAAACCATTAATTAATTTTATCACAAATTGATTAGTTTGATCTGGATAATTAGCTTTGCTATTTTTTAATTTAATTTTTTATTTTTAATGGCTAACTAATTTCCATATTTTCCAGTATTTTTAACAGAAAAAAATCATATATTATTTCATAAAAGTAAAGATTTTTTATCAAAATATTCTATAAGTTATACATCGTTTTATATTCCAATTTCAACACGAGGAACCGCAATATTTCCACAATGATTTGTCAAACACTACAGAACAGATATATAAATTACCCTGACAATCGAATAAAAACTAAGCCATCTGTGTCAATTTAAAGTTCTATCTCTCTTAATGTTAACCCTTCAGTTGTAAGATAGAATTTGAAGTTTGAGTAAACTTTATTATAAAATTTCTATTATAATTGACAAAATATTTAAATGGCTTTAAAAATGTTTTTTTTTTTTTTTTTTTTTTTTATAAAAGANAAGGACATGCTAAGACAATTATTAAATCTCAAAGTTAATTGTTTTTAATAATTAATAATAATATATTATATAGATGAGTAATATATAAAATAAACATACTCATAATCGATTACGCAATTCGATAATATTTTTCGGAGGAAAAATGAATCCACGTGTTCCGTAGATAGGCCATATTTGATATATCCATTACAAAATTTTTTCTGTTTTTTTTTTTTTTTTAAATATGTCTAATTTTTATAAAATTGTCTAAAGGTCTGATAATATATTTGAATGAAACTTTGGAATGCGAGTCCAGTAAGAAAAGACTTGAAGGTGAACATGAGGGAAGGGAATGCGAAATCTGGTGATGTTGTGTAGATGATGTATGTATATATATAATCTCCACTTCTCCATTCTATTCTCGATGAGTTATGTAGCACCAAAACAGCTGTAATCTCATTCCTGGTCATTCTGACACTGGAGAGTTCTGTGATGGCGACAGTATCGTCTATAAATCTCCTCAGCTTGATATCATTGTAACATGACGTCCGGTGACAAGTCTTGATTGCAATCGGGTGCTTTAACATACCCGTTCGATCGAGTGAATGATGAAGTATAGTGATATAGCAGTGACTATATGGAACCACACCGATAATTCTAAAACGATAATAGTTATTTTATAAACAATAAAATATTAAATTTTGAAAATTTAAATGGTATTAAACTTTAAAAAAATATTCAAGATGTGAAAGTAAGATTATAAGTATTCAAAATTAAATAAGTAATCTTACTTGATGTTAGTGAAGATGTAGCTGATCTTATTCTTTTCACGGTAAACGGATCTAGAAAGAAAGAATTAAATAACTGATCAATGGATACTCGATAGTATTCTTAGGGGAATCTGAAAATTTACTTTTGTTACTAAGTGTTCTTAGTTGTTTAACATTGCTCGAATGGTTTAATGGTTGTTTCTGGTTCTTTTAATGACTTTCGTTGCGACATTAAAGTGAATAAAGCTTTAACGAAAAATTATGTTCAATGATAAGAGCTTTAACTAAAATAATCATTACAAATAATGCTATCAAAGTAATCGTATCGAGCTACGTTAATATTGAAAGTGAATAAAATGTTATTATCCTAAGTAATTGGCAAAAAATGTTTCTTTAAAAGAGTTACTAAAAAAATTTCTTAAGCCATTTCATGTATTTAAATCTAATAAAATCCTAATACATTTTTATCTGTATATGTCTATCCCTAAAAGTTTCTAATAATTCCGAAAAGAAATGATTCTGTAAAATATTATAATTTAAATGAAGTATTTTACAGTTTCTGAACTAAACTACATTATAAGTGCTTTAAAGAAATGCTTTAGGGAAAATTTTAGTTAAACTGTGTAAATATGAAAAATTAAATTTAGAGAAACTTTTTCCTATTTAAAGACAAGAAAGTAATTTATGTAAATTCTCTAATGATAGTAAAATTACTGTAGATCTGTTTAATAACTTTTAAACCTATAGACTACAGATTAAAATAGATGTCTTTTTCACGAAACATTCTATTTAGTACTTTCAAAACAATACTGCCATAGAAGCAATTACTTCTATAACTACAAAACGTTTCAGTAATTTTATTTACTAAAAGAAATTTTTTGTATTAAATCATTTGATCAAATGCCTGCAATGCAACATGAAAAGAAAGATTTTAAAGTTCAGAAAGAGAAAATAACTTTTAGTTGATAGAATCAGTTTGAAAAGAAATATAAATAGAACCGATATCGAAGGAAAAATTCGGATCTATTAAAATAATGAGAAGAGCAAAAGAATCGAATTTCTTTAAAACATAAAAGTTTTTTGAAAAGTTATTTTGTTTTTGTTATTTTGAAGAGTTTTCTAAATAAAATAAATATTTTTTACAAAATAATCTAGCTAATTCTCAATAATATTTTATTATTTTATAACTGTCTTGTAAGATTATATTATAAAAATTGAATGCAGCATATCAGCAACAAAGATTAAAACAATTTTTCGGTTATAGAGTTTATCTTATAGAAAAAAACTCACCAACTGCATTTCTGAACTGGTAAATAGCATCAAATCCCGTACCGTCAAATCTATCGTTAGATTTAAAAGTGATTCTAAAGTATTCGCCTTCGGACTTAATAACTTTAGGTTTTTTTAAGCCGCAGAATCTCGGAATTTTTTTATCCACAGAACGAGAATTCGAAAATTCGACATAATCACTAGCTGTATCCATTGTACAACTGAAATAGAAAAAAAATAATCAAAAATCAAAATGAATTTATTTTATATCTATAAATTTAACTACATTATCGATCAGGCAAGTTGAATAACTTATAAAATCCTATAAAAAGTATTTATTTTTAAAAATTAAAACATTATTTCACTACGGACCTTCAAAAATTGTAAAAATCGTTTCATTCATGATATCGTAAACATGCGAACGCTTTTCATTGACCGAGAAAGGTTTCCATACTAATCCATAGATATAAAAACCTGTGCGAAGATGTTCATTTTTATAAGCAAACTAGTAAGTTTTCGACAGTTAACACCACGTAAAATGCCAATAATTGTTGATTTGAATGATAAAGGTTTATCATCTCTCGAAATAGCACAGAGAGTGCATTTTCATTAGTCAATAATTGTCTACTTGTTACAAATGAGACATAAACATGGCAACATTGAAAGAAAAGCTGGATCAGGAGGTATACGTGTGAATACGCCGTATCAGGAGATGCTGAAGCGGCTTACCCTGAGAAGAATACACTGTTAGTTTTTCCGAACTAAAGCAGAGTGGGAAGAGTAGATAGACGTAAAAGTGAGTGCACGAACACGACGGTTGCTTCTGCAATATGGATTTAAGAATCTACCGTCTACTTAAGAAGCCATTGCTGACGAATAAAACGCTTAGACAATCGCTTATCTGGATTAAAAAGCATGCGGACTGGGGAATTGATATGTGGGATTCTATTAGGTTTTCAGATGAATCCAAATTTTACCTGCACGGATCTGACAGTAAAATTCTATGCTTGGCATAGAAAAGACAAAGCCTATAATAGAAATTGCTTCATGCAGACAGTAGTTTCCGGTGAGTCAAATAATGTATCAATAGGATGCATATCCAGTAAAAGTGCTTGCAGACTACTCTTTACAGTCTGTTAGTACAGAGTGCTACAAAAATATCTTATCTGCCAAGCTAATTCCAACAATCAAGCAACAATTTTGTGACACAATATCCTGCATCTTTCAACACGACTCCGGGCCGTCAAGACAGCGAGCAAAGTATAATGTGTTCTTTCTCGGTTTATTAGCATTATTAACACATAAACTGGCACATAAATTGTAGTTTAAGTTCAAAAAATTCCTACAAGAGGTCCAGATCAGATGCCTAAGCTGCCAGGTGACGGTACTGATCTCAATACCATCGAGAACTGTTGGCACATTGTGGGCTCGAAAATTGCATCCAGGAGGCCTGAAAATAAAAAGCAACTGCAGAAATGTATTAGAAAAGTTTGGTATCGAGAACTTAGTATAGAATACTTAAAGAAACTCATCCATTCTATTCTGGAGTACTACAAACTTGTTATTAAGGCTCGATGTAGCCTATAAAGCATTAGGATTCGATTTAACGACAAATAACTGTTTATGTTAGGTTTTTCAAACTTACGCTGCGAATTACTTATTTGCTCCATAACTGTGAACGTCAAGTTCTTGCGACAGCGCTCATTAACAGTATTGGTAAAGGCTATAGTGTGAAATGACACTTACTTCAGTTCAATGTAGCATTATATGTAACAAATTGCAACTTTCTTTTTCTTTATTCTTCTGAGGTCTTTTTGCACTGCTTTTGTTAGTACTAAAATCACGATCATTGTTTAAATATGCATTGTAACTTTGCACTGTGTTGAGCAAGTTTTGATAAAGGCTTTATATTATAGGAGATTCAATTTCCATGACCGCAATATATTGCTAAATTTGGAAAGTTTTCGCTACTTTAGAGGATTTAAAATAATAAAATTTGTAATTAATCAATGTTTCGGTTTTCTTAAATTATAACATTTTATGAAATTTTATTTTTTAACAGTTTATTTGCTTCTAACTTTTCATAGCATATTTATTATATTTTATAATCTTCAGAACTTTTTGAGTTAAAAAATATTGCAGTTCAAATGTTTTTAAAATATTTAAGTAATATTTTTTCTTAAATAAATATGTTCAAATATTGCATATTTTAACTGTTAAATTTGAATTTGTTATGAGAGAAAAAGAAAATCATTCATAACCAAATTCAAAAATTAAATTAGAAAATATTAAATCTTTTATCATAGATAACTGCTGGAATTATTCATTACTTTGATTTATACTATTGTAATTTCAAAAATTTCATAAGTTAGATCGATAAATCACGAAATATTTGAATAAATTTGCTATTTTTGTTGGGATAAAAATTTGAAATAAGTTTAAAGTGCAACTATTGAAAGGTAGCTTCTTGGTTTGATTTCGACCAGTGTCAAAGAATGAGCAACTTTTCCAAAGAGAAACAATAAGAAATCTTACGTTGTAATAAAACTGTCAGAAAACGAACTGATTTATCATCTTTCATCAGTTCAAACCAATTGTATACACAACGGAATCTCATTCGACTTCTTTTCCTGTAATAAATAGCGCACCAAACTATTCACTGTGCTTTCGATGGTTTTTCATTTTGAACTTTGGCCTACTTTTTCTTTCCTCGTACTGCCTTCCTTACCAATCTTGTCTCCTTTCTTACTATATTTTTAACTCTTCCGAGAAAAAAAATGAAGAAATCAATTTTAAAAAAAAGAAATATTTGATTTTGTACAATTTTTCATTTTTTGATCATAATCGATTCCTGTCACAGATCAAGAAACATTATGAGTTTGATGCTTCTTAACGATTAATATCGGACAGTTTAAAACAATTTTCCGATTTATAACGACAATGTCTACTATTACGGATTAAAAAAAAAAAGAGAAGAAGAGACATCGATGTTACTGATATATCTTTCGCCAAATATTATATTTCAGATGCTACTTTAGGAAAAAGTTATTGGGATAATGGGTTGAGCTGCTTAAATTCGTAACTAATCCAAAGATTGAATAATAACGGTGTCTGTTGACAGAAATGAAGACTTCATTTTCAGACGTTGATGTTCCCCTCGAGATTCTTAATGAGAGGCATCTTCTCTAGGGTCGTTAGTGTCTTACTGCTTGCTGTCAAACTTTGTATCGCTCCGTGTCACTTTTGTGTCATACTGTCAGAAGCACATTCGATAGAGGAAATTCTGCTAATACTCATTCTCACCACTGAAGCAGCTGAAAGTTTCCCTCGACTAACAAGTTAGTAGGTTCCAAATGACTTTTCATCTAATTTAAATTGACATCCAATACATTCTCAAATACGTTTATGTATCAACAAAATTTAATTTTCCTATAAACTTATTATAACACGAATCAAATAATCTATATTATTTACGTGGAATTAATTTCCAAACTGGCCACAAAATTTTTCTAAGCAACGCATTTTTTATTAGAATATCATCAATACGTTCTCATATTTTTAGTATATTTTAATATTTCAATAATATTTATGAAATAAGCAATACTCACGGGGTGACTCCTTCAACATCGAAATACGCAAAAGTAATTTGAACTCTTCCGTTATTCTGAGCGTGAAAAAAATAGTGGCATTCGGTATTGCGTGGATAATAACCGGGCCAATTCGGTGAGGTGAAATTGCCATAAGAACTTACGGATGCATTGAAAGTAAATCCACAAACTGAAAGACAGAATACTTTTATGAATTTGATAACATTTGAATTTTTCTTTAAAAATGTAATAAAAATCGTCCTAAATAAATGGCAATTTTCTCAACATTAAAAAGAAATAATAATTCTGTTGCGTTAAATAGAATAAATGTAAACAACTATAAATAATACTTTGCCACTCAACTCTATTGTTTTATGAAAAAAGCGAGAGTGATTTTCGAATTTGTTTCGGTTTTTATTCATTTTGTTATTCTATAACCATGTTTTCATTTATGCTCATCTCTTGAAAATACAGATAAAAAACATCTTTTGTCTACAGACTATATTAATTATATAATTAAAAAACATAGATAATTTTCCAGGATATTTCCCATAATAATCACCTATGCATTAGAAATGAATAATTCATTTCTAATGCATAGGATTGAGGGGAAAAAACGATGCATTAGTTTCTAACTTAAGAATTGTAATAAAAATTTAATAATTTGACATTTTGACCATATTAATCTATAACTATCATATATTATAGCATAAAAATAAAATTTTTATCACTAAAATTGTTATTAAAATGTTTTCAGTCTTATCCAAAAAGGTTTTTCGTTATCAGAACATCGATTTCGTGTAAAATGTAACGTTTTCTATTAATGGAAATTTAACTTTCGTTATTATCATTAACAAAATATCAATATAGAACCGATTTAGTGAAGTTAATAATTCAGATTTTATAAAGTTTCTTTAATGTATTATAATCCTCTATTTTTAAAATTCATTTAAGCCTCAATTATGCCAATTGATGTTAGATTTTAATTAATGAGAGTTATAAAAATTGTTTAATTTTAAATTATAGTTTCTAGTATTTCTATGTTTAGATGCCCTTTCCAATAAGCTAGAATAAGCTAGAGTTATAATTGATAAATCAGTATGGTTTGCTTTCTGCTTGATGACTTAATGAGAGCTCAGTAATTAGAATGTTATCATAAAGTTTGTAATATAATATGAAATATTATCTTTATTCGATATAATTATTATATATATTAGGTAATTTAGATTGATAAAGCATTAATATTTATTATAGATATCGCAATGCACATCAACATTGTAATTCGTTTTTCATGGGCATATTGTATAATATTATATAATATAATAGAATTAATGTAGTCGTATATGATGATTATTATAGAATTAATGCAAAGCTAAATAATTACGAGTCATTTCATTAATATTAATTTAAAACAATATTAATAACCTCTGATCTGTATAAATATTCTACAGACCTGCAAGTCACAAGTCAGTGTTCTGAATTATTCTGGGATTGATGATCCTCGATAAAATCAAAACAAACAAATAAAGAATGAATGAAGCAATTGGAAATATATTTTGCTATTTTATACTTATATGTTCAATGTTATAGGATTATATAACTATTAAATTTGGCTATAATAACCATTAGATACGGACTAATCACACACTACAAAAATCTTTATTAACGACTTTAAATCCAGTTATGCATTTCTTCCTTTATAAAAGTGAACAGCAGAATAAGTGTCAGATATCTATTGTTGCATTCTTGAGGAAAAAATCGCAGACCGGCTGAAAGGGACCATTGTAAAAGCCAAATTGAATACTGGGATTTAAAATCGTTAATAAAGAGTTTTATGGTATATTATTAGTTCTAATTTGTATAAGTGAATTTATGTTAATGTTTGATTAAGCAATTGTGAGACCATTTCTAAAATGAAGTTACTTTCTTCATTTAAAAAAATTCGCTGTTTTATCGCAATGCTCTTGAGAGCAATTTTCACAAATGAAAAAGTCTGTCAAATAGAATCTGAATAATTTTTTATTTTGTATTTATTAATATAATAAATTGACTATATATATATAATTATATCTTTCAGCCAGAATAATAAACATTAAATTGTTCTCAGGTAAGAAAAGAAAGTTCAGTATTTTCATAATGCTTTTATATTATAGAACATTTCTTCATTTTGCAGAAAAAAAACAAAATTTTTGATGGATTTGAGAACTTTCTTTTAGTCTGTAGAACGATTTTATCAATAGTTGTTATGGAAGTAAATAAAGCAGACGTGACTTAAAAAATCATTTTTTGAAAGTAAATTCATAACTGACAGACTAATGACGCATCGATATTTAAAACAGTGCTAAGTTAGCATTTTCTTTTCAGTCTTATAAACAGTTGGTTTTTATGAAGTTTGCTCAGCAAAGAGCACTTACCTGATTTCGAATCCGGTTTTCCTGTAGAAACACCAAAGTCTGAAAAGAAAAGGAAAGAATAAAAAAAGAAGAAAACGAAGAAAAAAAGAAAAGAAATTCACGGAGTCAGCAAGACTTGATACTTTCTCTTTCGACTATTGAAACGTTGAAGTGGGGTCAGACTTTTAGAATCACCCCCTTTTTTGTGACAGTATCTGTTTAAAAGTTGATCTTAAAGAAAGTAGTTTGATATTGGAAATTTTTCATCACAGTTTTGAATAAAGTTCGACAATCACCAACGTTATTTTCACACATCTTATTGAGAGTTAATTTAATATTTCCAGACAAAAAACTAACATAATAATAATAAAATAGTTTGTAAACTTTTAAAAAATAATTCATATTTTTAGATTTTAATAATACAATAAAGTAAAAATAGACATTTATGTTAAGTCATTTATTTCTGCTTAATATTAGACATTTCGGCTCAAAAGTAATTTTGAAAAATCAAAAATGCTTCATTTTTATGATATAAAATAAATTTCACGAAACTATTATTTTATGAATAAAATAAATTTCACTATTCTTTAAATATTGTAGAAGGAAAAAACCTTAATTTTGAACTAGAAGTTATATTTAATAAATACGATAGGTTAAAAAATAATAGATATAAAAACTAAAATATGCACTTTTTATTATTTCTGTCTCAGTAAACTATCATATCTCAAATACAATCAAATTTTATTCAATAATTGGGCTACCTATGCATATCATAATGTATAAAATACGTACGGAAAATTCAATTACAATCTATAATTATTTATTGATCTGATATTCAAATTTATCTAATTACTGGATGAATTAGGACAATATCAAATTTAAAAAAATATAATTATTATTTCTATTTCGAGGGTAGAGTAAAATGTATCAGTAATTTTTATAACCTCTTAAAAGGGATTTTTGGACGAATAAATCGAAATGTTATGTCCTTCGAATCCGACTCTCATTCGAGATCAAGAATTACTCAGAAGTCGATTATCTGAAATATCTGAGAATTAATTTACTTCTGAGTAATTCTTGAACTAGGGTGAGAGACGGATTCGAAAGACATAAAATTTCGGTTTATTGTCCAAAAAACCCCTTTTAAATGGTTATAAAAATGACTGATTATATCCGGCAAATATTGTTAATTTTTAGCTTCTTATTAAATAAATGTATACTTCTTGTAAAAATAAATACAATTTCTTCTAAGCAAATAATACTAATAATAATTTCCACATTAATGTTTAGGTCTAGTATTGAATATGGACTTTCAATAGTAAAAAAAATTCATTAAACAGTTTTGATGGAATTAAATTCAGCTTGGTTAAAATCTGGATACATTGCGATACTCATAAGAGTAAAATGAACTTCGTTTAAGTGTTGAAAATTGACATTTTTTTGGCTGTAAATAGTTGATACTATTTACAAAAAGTTGTTAATTTTCAATACTTAAACGAAATTCATTTTACTCTCCCTGAAAGTATAGCTTATGCTGATATTTAGCAGTATATCAATTCTATTGAACATCTTCATTTATTACCTTATGTGGCTTTGACCTATATATTATATCATCATAACACAGATAATTATCTGATGAAAATAAATCATTCTATTATTTTTCAACGTTTCTTGGTACATTTTTTCCATAACATCTTTGGGCATAACATTATATCTTAGTTATTATTCCAGTTTTCCCTTTTGTTTTCATCATTTACTTTTGTAATTATATAACAAAAATTTTAATATTCAGTAAACAATAATTAATTCCAAATCATTAAATAATAATTCGATAATTTTATTAAAATATTCAAATTTAAATTCCTATTAATGAAATGTGAATTCTGTAATCAATTGCTGCAAATATCTAGAATATAAACTTCGTGCCAAAACTTTTACCTCCATTGAAAGAAATGTAAAACAACTCTAAAAATATCTTTATTAACTTATAATTCACGTATTATAACTTATGCATCACTTTATTATTTTATAAAACATTCTTAAAAATTTTGCCGTTTAATTGAATGAAAAATAGAAGCACCAAGTGCACCAATAGAAGCAAACAACGAATTGAAGACTTTCTACAAATAATGTAATTAATCAGTCAAAACAATGTTTCATAATATACATTATTATTAATTATTATTTAAAGTGATAAATAAATAATGTATAGTTATAAGCATAATCTGAAATTAATTTTCAAAATGAATTTATTTGTTTAATTATTTGACAAACCATTCATTAATATTCACTATGAAATTGTTAGTGACTAGATATTGAATCAACGTTCTATATATTAATATTTAGTAGAATGTATACAACATAGCTTTAAACAGAGATTATATTTGTGAACTATCGAATTTAAGAAAAAGAATATCACGGAGTAGCAACTTTTACATTACGTGACTGAACATACTTAACCTAGAACAACGATCTTACATACCAATATTTTATTATTTTATTTATTTCATTGTAGTTTGAGAATCGTTGATTTAGAAAATATGTTCTAAAAGTACTTTAAAAACTTTTCTTTTGAAGTGCGATAAAACTGTAGGACAAAACGTTATAACACGCAACTATGACATCAGCAAAACGATTAATACTATATTCACGTTAACATTAAAGTCGTTCAGAAATTTTTATGTCAGTGAAAATATAATAGGAATTTATGTACGTAGTAAAAATTGTACTAAATTGAATAATCTTTCCTTTCTGAACTGAAGTTTACTTCTAGTCTTTTCTATCTTATGATAAATCGTTCATTTTAAAGGTCAGATGCATTCAATATTCAAGTAAAATTATTTCACATAAAGTAGGGGAGCCAATTATTGCCTTCAAGTTTGGACAATTATTTTGAACAATTCCAATTTTTTTTCAAGAAATGGTTAAGCTATAACTTAGACTAGGTTTAACTTAGCCATTTCTTATGAGGAAAAATTAGAATTGTTCAAAATAATAGCCCACACTTGATGGGTCATAATTAGTTCCTCTACCTTATTTGTTTCTTGCAATTTATCATATTTATTGATAGGCTATTGATCATTACATCTAATACAACATTGACCATTAATGACTAATTATTAATATAGATATTAAGGTCATTAATTATATTCGACCGTCATTACTTAAGGCAGGGGTGTCTAACCTTTTTGTTTCTCTGGGCCACATTGGAAGAAGTCATGGAGTTCTGGGCCATAAGTATATTGTGGCCCAATCCTTAAATATACAAGTATATTTAAGTATTTACATGTCTAGATTATAGTAATAAGTATTAAAACTTTATCACGAAAAAGGATATTTTAAAAAATTACATCTACAGACACTTTTAATTTCTACTTAGAAATAGATAAATTTATTTATTATAAAGAAGACAAACAAAAATTTATTTGAAAAACACAAATATTTGTTTTATTTGGGTCTTTAATTAATAAAAAAACAACGAAACACCATTTTAAAGTGCATTTTTATTCAACTAACATATTTATAAATAATATGTAGCCCAAAATGTAGTCAATGCGCCAAATTATATTTTTTACGCCAAACTAAAAAAAGGGTAGCCAAATTTGGCGCAAAGTAGCCAAATCTTGCAACGCTGAAAGGAATATTAAATAATGCTAGAGTTGGGATTCAAAGAATTATAGACCCAAATTCGGGGAAAGGAAAGAAAGGTCAAAATATAAAGAAGTGAGAAAAATCAAATAGACCTTCTGTTATGCAAATATTGATCCTTAATTTTCCAACCTTTCTCACTTCTTTTTATCTATGGCCTTTTCTTTCCCCGAATTTGGGCCTATAATTCTTTGAGTCACGACTCCAGCTTTATTTGGTATTCCTTCCTCATTCACACATTTCAAGTATTTGAAAATATTTCATTTCTATTAAAAAATAAGATATGTATAAAGGTTTAAGGTTTGTGAAACTTCTTTTTTCAGGTTTATGCCGTTGAAATAAATAAATAAATAAATAAATAATAAAAAAATTTGTCGGTTTTGTTTACACGTTTATTGGGCCGCATTGGAACTTGCCTTGGACCGCGGGTTGGACACCCCTGACTTAAGGTATTTGTAAATAATCAGCTCGATATGAAGTTCTGGGATATTTTTATAACTTCACAAAGAATACACGAGCAGTATTAATATAGCACGAACATCAATAATCATAAAAATAAAGAAATGATAATCAGGACTGTGAAGAATATATACTAACACTAACAATGATATGAGTAACACTTGAACTGTCGATGACGCAGACATCAATATTGATGTGGAGTATGGATGTTAGCCCCCAGTTGTCCATAAAGAAGACAAGCAGCATAAGACATCGACAAAGTGATGATATCAAGAGTGATAAATTTTAAGTAAAAATTTTTGTAAAATTTCTTTTAAAAACTCAATTACATTTCAATTTTCTTAATGACAAAGAATGAAACAGAAATCTGTTTCTGTTCGAGACAAATATACTATCAAAAAAGAGCGGTGATTGACAATGAGTTTAAATTCCTTATTTCATCAAGCTTAACTAAATAGAAATAATGACATTCTTAAACTAGTTTGACCGATTTATTTTTCTCCACTCTGAAAAGATTAAACGACTTTTCAAGACTGTAATTTATTTTAATTTTAATTTAATTTATTTACTTTAAAAGACTTTAATTTATTTTTTTATGGTAAAAATTTAATGTTAATCAGATAGTTTTATCCTGATTTCAAGATTATTTTTTTACAAAGTTTTCATTTTCATAGGCAAACGAGTTTACCCCTTCTACAATATAAATTCAATTAATCTTAAAATAATTTTATTCCGATTTCAATATTATCTAAATTTCATTATAATTTCATCCTGCTGACAACACAGATACGTCGCTTAGAAAATGAAATTATGACATTTTGTTAAAAACATAAATATGTTGTAAGAAGAATTAAATTATAATAAAAACAGGATTAATTTATATTGAAAGGAGGGTGAAATTATTTCGAAGCTAGGTGAACTCACATTGAAAGGAGATGAATTTATTTGCATGTGAAAATGAAAAGTTTTGCAAATGAGGTGAATGGAAAAAGGGGAGAAATTATTCGATAAATATTATAATTTTTTATTAACTTTATATCTTTTTTTACATTTACGTATGGTATACTACAAATCAAATGTTATATTTAATAAATTTTTCAAAAAACTCTGAAAAACTCACTCAAAATAAATTATTTATTTCTTATCCTGAAAAAATTCAATAGCTTCTTAGCTTTTAAAAACATTTTTATTAAATTTTTTAATTATAACAACATATACTACAGCACAATAGTGTAACCAGGGGGTTTGAGGGAATAGTTTAACCAGTATAACCAGTAGGACGAGGGGTTTGGGTCTGCTTACCTCTGTAAATAAATAAATGAAGAAAAATCAAATAAGTACAGAAAAACGGTTTGAATGTAAAAACTCAGTGTTTTTTAAACGTGTACAGTACATACAATATCTAGGAGTTTACTCTTCATTCATAGTGCTAGTTGCTACGTCTACAGTGGTACGAGTTGGCTAATGTAGTTTTGCCCGAATTAGGGTCTTCTAATATAGGTTCTAATTACAATACGGCTATGATAGCTTACTATAAAATTACTAATGAAAATATTACAACAGAATGATGTACGAGTCTAACTTACTTGTAACAAATCTGTAGACTGCTCGAAAGCCTTTAATGTTGGGTGAAGAGGTATAACTTCTAAATTCTGCCACCATAGTAGGACCATTTGACATTAACTGTGCTGGGAGTTTGTTTTGACCGCAAAAACTATCTATACGTTCTTTTTGTCCATTAATTGTAATCGAGATTGTTACTGCATCAATGTTTTCGCAACTATAAAGTAAAATTTAAAACGTTAGAAAAGTTTAATAATTTATTTTTTAGACAGGAAAACGATGTATGAATATATTATAACAAATACATTGTTACAAATTCATGAAGGCTCTAGTAATTAATTAAGAAATATTGATTCTTTCCGAGGCTAAACATATTTTTCTGTATAAAATTTAGTCTTTCGCTAGAAAACATACAGCTTAGATTTAAGATTTAGGCTATACTTTGTATACTCTTTTTTATTTATACAGTAAATGTAGTTATATATATTCAAAATTTTAAAAAATAAAATAAAATTCCGCTCAACGAACGAACAATCTTATTTTCAAAAATTGCAGCCTTGATTTTTATAGTTAAGCTAACTAGATCAGCTTTTGACAGTTCTTAGATGACTACACTGCTATTGACAGCTTCGACCGCATGGCGACAGAGGCTAAGTGCGAACTAGCATCGATCATCAAAAACCTTTCGGCTGCAGTATTTTTTTCTGTAAAAACGTGAAAACGTCGTTTGTCAATCTCGTCACTGACAGATGTCTTCAAACCGCTGTCTTTCTGTTGATTCACCACGCTCTGATAATGTTTCAGTGGGATAAATGATGATACCTCAAAAATACTAGAAAACACTCACATCAGNAAAATTAAAATAAGCTTAAAATTAAATTTACTTCTGTTTAAATAATAATTTCTATACGATTTAATTAAAATCTTATTTTAAAAGTATGTTTTAAGCATTAAAGTGAAAATAATTTGAATATATCGAGTTTAAAATGTAGAATAAACGTCTAAAACAATTTTAAAATATTACATTCGTAATACTTTCGTTTTCATTTCTTTAAATTAAAAGCATTATATGTTCAATAAAAAAATACTTATAAATTAAATCGATTCAATATCTTATTTTTGAACATGGTCAACTTATCCATTGTTAACTTTTATAAGATCAGCAAAGGGTACTTCAGATACAAGAGAGAAAAATAAGTCCTGAGGGAAGACCGATCGATGCGTTATGATAAATGCTATAACCCACGAGTCTGATCGTCAAATAAGGTCGAGTCGCTATCTTCTTCAATTCTACAAACTTGGACTATGACAGAACTTTCTCTTAACTTCGTATTCTCGTTTTTGTCATCCTGAAGATCACAATACGAATATGATTATGCTCTTGGGATTTTCCGAAGTTTTACATTCGCTTTTTGGTTTTAAATATTAAAAAAAGATTTTTTTTATAGACAATTGGAATAATATCCATATACTCACTCTCTTGTGGTTTCATCGGGTTTATATAGATCAAAATCAGTGAAGAGGATTTGGACTCTTTCTTTTCCTCTCCCGGAAAAGTGATAAATACAATGAGTGTTAGCTGGATAAGATCCGGGATAGTTTGGACTCGTAAAAGTACCATTTTTTGACATCCGACTGCTAATTCTGCTACCACACATTGTAACTGCTGTAAAGAACAGAATTGTAAAACTATATTAAAAGACTAAAATAATCAAAAGTGGTTCAAACATATTTTATAGCAAAATTGATTTTTCTTCATTTTTAAAATATCTCTAAAAAATTTCTGCTATTTAGTCAAACTATATCAAACATTTTATTAAGGTTAATAAATGAGAAAATTCGTTAAGCGGAACACGCAGCTTCGGCTTATGACATCAGATTCACTTCATGGCATGCCAACAATTTAATTTAAACCCTACTTTCTGCCAAACTGTAAATGTGCAAATATTTTATACGTTGTAAGCTACATCTTATTCCGACAGTATCTGCAGTTCCAGATTCCAGGAAGTAGAATTTATGGCTACTTGTAGGCATTATTGTTTTCTTAGGCAATAAATATACTCTTATTTTAGACGTTTGATTAACATTATTGACAATCAATAACTCAGAGTTTTTTCTTTTTTTAAATTAAAAATAAAACTGCATTGTTACTCCTAATGTTGTTTATAGCTATATTTTATATTTATTTAATTAATGATCTCAAACAAAACAAACTTTTCGTTCAGAATTATATATATATAAATGCTTTAAATCTATAAAAAGATTTATTATAATTTCGAATGGACATATTATTACAGTATTTGAGTAATGTACTGGCGTGATAATTAGATTTTTACACGAATCAAATTTCCCTCAAATTCATTGAAGAAGTGAAAAATTAAGTATTTGAAAAATAGATAAATTTTTGTTTTACTAATAACTGCATCGACAATATTATCAAGTCATCAGAATCTGCCAACAGAATGGGAGGCAGTTACAGTTAATGAGATATTAGTGAAGAACAAATTATCTATCTAGATTTTCATCATCCCATCATACTTAAATGTCCAAATTATCGTCACCTCATTAAGCTTTCATTTCCGAGTCCAAGCCAAGTATCGATTATTTTTTGACGCATTCATAGGCGAAATGTTTTTTTTTTATAGGTCGAAACCATAATTATTTTGCGTTAATTTAGTAACATTCCTAGGTAAAGCATTTTCGAGTTCATTTATTGTGATTTGAACTTTAAACGCCAGATGGCAGCGTAGTTATTGGAGAGAAAGTCCAGAAGCAATTCAAAGAACGTTCGGATCGATCAACCGAAGTTTTGGCCAACTTTTTCTACTCTGTCGATACATTATACAATCTGAAAATAAACGAGATTTGCGGAGTGTTGAGTATGCAGGAGTCCCATTCAATCCATTTCAATCGTGTCACTTCTATAAAACAATTCATATCTAAATATTAATCATATTTACTATTGAAATAATCTGAATAACACATTATATATGAGCAATACTTTTAAAAAATACACTTCCTTTGAATTTAAATGTCAACAATATCTATAATTAAGTAAATAAACAAGATTTTAATTAAATGTATTCTTTGAAAAATCGAAAGAATTTAAAATGGATTTTGAATTATTTAAAGGGTAGACAAATACAAATTATTTTTAAAAATATAAGAATAAGAAATTGCATTAATTCTTTTGTTAATTTTTTAAAATTTTGTACTTTCAACATAGAACTTATTTTACTTAAATAAAACTAAGAGTTTATTTCATTGATTTTAATAGTCATAATTAAGTTATACATATTTTAATAATGTTAAGCTTGTTACTATACAAAATGACAAATTAACTGACTTAATAAATAACAAACAATACAATAGAGTATTTGTATTAATAATAAATCTGTATAAATAAAATATGAAATAAATCTGTACAATACAAGTACTATACATCTTTATTTCAAGTACTAATAGTGATATTAACTTTCTAAAACAATAACATTTTTTAATTTTAAATTATTTAAGCAATGAAGCTTTATATTAATACAAAATTAAAAGATTAATATAACACATTGAATCAGTAATAATAAAAATTCATGTCTAAAATTCATTTTTAATTATTATAATAATTANTAATAAAATGCAAGCAAATATTAAATAATTTAAATATAAAAATATCGAAAATGCTGAACTTTTTCAGAATAATTCAGATTTACATGAATTTTGATAGAATATTTTAATGATGTTTTCATAACTTAAACGTAGTAAAAACTTTAAACTCATTTTTATCTTCTTTGTCTGTTGTGTGTATGTTAAAGAAAGCGCCTTCGTCTATTGAAATATCCAATCGAACGTTTCTAGCTTCGATAAACTCTTGACCAACAATGGAACCAAAGTGTCCTTGAACTGTTCCGTTTATTGATTTAGTTGCAGAAAACTAGGAAAGAGAAGTCCTTTTTACGATCGAAACGATTTTATCCAGAGACATTTAAATATTGTTCAAGATAAATACAAAACAAATGGATAATTGGATCATAGTTCAATGTAGCCATTGCTGAAATAGTAAAGAAGAGACAAGTTTTCTTTAATTCATGCAAGAAGGAACGGATAATTGATGATGTAATAAATAATTTAATTTAATGAAACAAGGAAAGTAAATATATTTTAATATATAATTATATTAATTTATACATATATAACTTATTAAGCTTCTATTGTTATAAAATGTTTAAATTTCAAAATAAATAAAGAATTGTTATACTATTAGTGAAAATTTTTAAATTTATTATACGCATTAATAATTTTGTTTTCCAACAAACACGGATAATAATACAGTGGAAAGTTTACGGACAATCCTATGGGCAATTTGGCAGCTTTGACATGTCTAGTGGGTATTGGTGCATGTTACAAGACTAATTTATGACTATTATAGTAAAATATTTAATGATTTGTGGCATTTTAGAGATCAATTCGCTATCTAAATTGACAGTAAAACGATCGAAAGAAATAACACGCCAACTCTTTCTCTATTTATTAAGTAAGAAAATACAAACGAAAACTCTTAAAAGATGTATAAATTTCGAATAATTAATCAAGTTTATCCTACTCGAAAGAAATGAAAAATCTAAGATAAACATTTTATATTAATTAATTGAATGATATTAATTAACACATCTAGTAAAACAAGACGTAAGTAGATTAATTTATTTATTTTTTATTTAGTTTCTAATTTCACCCGGTTTAATTTAATTATGTTCCAAAAAGAAATGATTTATTTTCATCTAAAGTCAGATAATTTTTATAATTAACGAAATAGAGCATATAATAACTGTTTTTCTTGTTTGGTTAAACATATTATTTTTCTGTACATTAAGTTTTTATCCGTAAATAAAATAATAAATTAAAACTAAATAAATATCAAATTCATGGTTTAATGAAGCGATAAAACGAAAATATTGCACGATGCTTTTACTAATAAATTTTACAATCTTTTATTAAAATACTAAATCTGTAATAAGAAATTATTTAATATGTATAAAGATATTTTTCCAATACAAAAATAATTAATTTAAATAATGCTGCTCTTTTATAATCTTAAGAAGAAAAAATTTATTAAAAAAACAATTATTTAACATCTTAATGCACCAATAAATTTTTATTTATTATTAATAATTTAATCTTTAAAATAATATAAAAAATAAAAAAATAGCGAGTTTTATTTTAAACTAATTGTTAGATTTAAAATATAAAAATGGTTTTCTTAGATCATTTAAGAATTAAGCGATTTCTCCTGAGTTTTCTCGTCCTGAGTGTCCCTTCATCTTGGTTTATATATGAGCAGCTCTTTTGGCAGTTGTGTTTGCCATTTTGTTTACGTGTTGTTTCCATTTCTGCCTATATTTGTTATGCTGTTATTAATAAAGAATATATCTAGATCTTTTCTTATGCCTTCGTTCCATATCTATCCAGTCTGAAGCAGCCTTTAACATATTGAAAAAATTGCATTTCACTTGCTTATGATCACTCATGTTTCAGAATCGTATAACAGAACTGGAATTACCATAACTTTATAAAATTTGTGTTACATCTCTATTTTCCTTTCTTAAGTGTTTTTGATCATACCACAGATTGCTTGAAACTTTTGTAATTTATTTACATAAGAATGTACAGTACAGTACATAAGTTTCAAAAACATTCGAAATAATCTTAAAAAAATAATTTTTCAAATTATTTATCATTATCTGCACATGAATAACTATTGACAAATATTTATTAATTAATGAATTAAGTTTAAAATATAATTCCCAGTTTAATCATTTTTATCCCCCCAAAAAGGACTAAATTCAAATAAATAAATGTTAGGTTTGAATCAGAAAGATTTTATATTTTCCAATTCCTACTGAAAATTCAATTAATTAAACCAATTTTATTTCTTCTTGCTTTTATCTAATTGATTTTAACCATCTCATAAGCTCATAAAAACGAATTTAATTACATTTGCGATTTGACAGTGTATATGAATTTCATATTTATAGTGAAATCTCGATACAGTGCCCTTCTAAATAACGCCTTCCTCGTAAAACGTCAATGAATTTTTGCTTCCCCATAAATAGAAAATTTGTTTATGCATTGCAAGCGATATTGTTATTATGAAATCACGGGACTTTTTTAATTTCAACCTTCTGTGTACAGCTCATTACTATATCTGACTCTCTTTGACGTACTTCGGCTTAGCACCACACTCGTTTTAGTGTCAATGCCCCAACAAATATTAGCGCTAAATCGAAGTTTGATTGTAAATAACGCCTTCCTCATTTTCGTTAGATATGTAATGTTTTATTAATGTTTATATTTTGGATATTTAAAATCATTCACTAAAGAGTTAATGATTAAATCAATAATCTTAAAATTTAAAAAAATAATCATAGAAAATTCGAAAGCTATTACAAAGAACTTTGAAACACTTTTATTCCTGTAATACAGTGGTTCTTAACAAGAGGTCCGTAGAAAGTTTTCAAGGGTAAAAGTCAACTTATTATCTTAACTTTGTGTTATTTTGTGAAATTGTTAATTATTGTGTTAAAAAGGCACATATATTACTATATCATAAGTTTTTTTTTATTTTAATAAATACATTTCTATATAATTAGTTTGTAAATTTTATTTCATGCATTT